GGCCTGCTCCGACCAGGCCTCTGCAGCCTTACCCGCACATGGAGGGCGGCTGAGCTGAACGGAAGGATTAGCAAAACATTCCTGTTTTGGTGTGGTCTTTGTACTGAAACTCTTTGTTAAAAATTCCCTATCGAAGTAGGAAAAGGGATAACGCTTTTGGAGGTCTCTGTGGTGCCGGTTTACACGTGTTGAGTTACGGCCGCGGCGGGAGCACTGAGGGAGTTGATGCAAAATCTCGCCTGCACATTCTTCAGGGGATGTGGAGGCTCATTTGTTGCTGACCACGCATAAAACTTTGGGGAATGGGGTTAATGTTTATCTGCTGCTGTTCATTGTAAGCTGAAGGTTCAGAGTTATTTTTTAAATGTTTTTTTGCATGGTATCGTGTTTGTCCGCTGTTTTTAAGAAGTGCGGTGATTGGGTTTTTTAAAATGGCAATTTGAATCTTTATTAAATTCTTCCTTTATTTGCCCTTAAGTTTTTGAAAATAAAACATTGTTGTAGAACCATGGCACTTCGGACGTTGTCTGTCTTGGAAAGTCTTGGGTTGAAGATCACTTGATGTTTAAAACGAAATTTTAATTGGAGCACTTTTATTTTATAGACGTTCTGGAATGGCCTCAGTCAAAATGTTCTCAGAGCAGCATCCAGCAGAAAATATGCGTAAGTCTTGCCTTGTTTTTTTATGTGTCACTGTTTGATATTTATATTTACTGTTGTTCTCATACCAGAACTGATCATTAGTCAGAGATGGAGTAACAGAGCAAAACCAGCAAGATAAGACTAGAACCTGTGCATGTAACTCTTTTTGAAGCTGTTTTTTTATCTCTTGTTTTCTTTTTCCAGAGGAACTTTTAAGAATTGTCCTTTCCCCCTTTTACTGCCATCAGTGGCATCCACAAAATGTGGATTGTTGAGATTTGTTTGAGGAAAAAACAGCTCCCAAGCGAACAAAAAACCCACCAAAAATATCGTAAACGCTGGTGGAACAAGTTGTTTTACACTGGCATGAAATGAGGGTGATAAGTGACTCCATTTCACTACAGATAAAGTTTATTTCAAGCAGCTTGCTTGTTTTATAGTCACTTGTCTTTCTTGTTGCAAGATAATGGGAAGAGAGTAGCAGTTAGCTGTGTGACTTAGTCACGTTTTGTGGCTGATGCTGATTCAGGACATAGAACGGGAATCTGTTTGTGTTAGGAAAACTGCCTGGCTCTGGTTAGTACAGAGAACCGGGGCAGTTGCACCTTTCCAGGCTCACTGCTCTGTGTTACCTGAGCTGGAGGTAGAGCTTGAGCATCTTCAGGAGCAAGAAGGTGACAGCCTGGTCGCGCAGGGCCCTGCTCTGCCTGCAGGGTTCTTGCTTCATGCCAAAACATGGCTTGCTTTATAAGGCAAAGCTGTGAGTCAGGGGTTCTCTCTACCCTTGAAGAGGGTAATACAAACTTCCTAGAAAGAAGGAAGAGGTTGAAATTGGTCTTGTGTAAGAGCCACTTTCGTTTTTCAGAATTAATTTGTTGTTTCTCAGGATTAAAATAAAAAAATATTTGCCTCTGGTTCAGAGAACCCTGCATGGGTTAAGTTTTATGTTTTCTTTGTGTGTCCTGTTCATGCTAAATAGTAATAAATAAACCAATACAATTTATTATTGGCATTTTGAGTCCAGGTGGGTGTCTTCAGACAAATTTGAACATCAAAAGTATTCCAAAGCAAGTCCTGCCTGTGTAGGAACAGAATTAGTTATGACATTGTTTTATATCAAAATCTTAGGGTTGTTGAGAACATATGCAGTAAAGATAATTCTGGCGAAGAATAGAATTCTGTATGTTCATTTAAACAAGCAAGGATTTAACTATAAGTGATCTGACTGAAAATAGAGGCACAAGGTTAAATTCCCATGCAAGTGTCAGGGAACACCTTAGGTCTGAATACAATGTGTATTTGCTTCAACATCAAGTGAGAAAGCACTTTGTCCTGTTTTAGGGTAGGAGGCTTTTTTGCTATCAAGTTATTTTCCTTTGTTAGCAATCTGATTTTTCTCACAATATGCTTTTACAGCTCAGAAGCAATTAAAGGTGCCGTTATTGGAATTGATTTGGGTACAACAAACTCCTGTGTGGCAGTTATGGAAGGAAAACAAGCAAAAGTAAGTAAAAAATGAATGCCAGCTTCTAGTGACAGTATTAGAAGTTGAATGTCCAAATAGGTGTTTTCAGAGGCAGTGTGTTTTGATGGCTTTCTGTTATGTCTTTTGCATAGGTACTAGAAAACTCCGAAGGCGCCAGGACAACCCCTTCGGTTGTTGCATTTACAGCTGACGGCGAGCGCTTGGTTGGCATGCCAGCAAAGCGGCAGGCAGTAACTAACCCCCACAACACCTTCTATGCTACCAAGCGTCTCATCGGGCGGCGCTTCGATGACTCTGAAGTGAAAAAGGATATGTAAGTGAGGGCCGAGAGCAAT